AGCAATGATGGCTATGTAGAACTATACAACAACACGGGAAGACTGCAGGAGTACCTGTGGGAGACATTTCACCTGTTTTGTGGTAGCGTAATACCTCCTATTGACTGTTAAGGGATTCTTGATTCGCCTTCAAATGTCTTAAAAGAAATGCACACATACAAATCTGACTTTAATACCACACACAAGTCTAACGGACACAAAGAAGAGCTAATTAGAAAAAGGGTGAGGACATAAGCATTTATTTATTTGTTCTACATCTCCCTCCTACAGCAGGGGGCAGCTGGCCAGTAGCAATCAGCCCCTTCCCCTATAGGCATCTTCTGGCTACCAGCTGGGAACAGCTGGTCTCCCCTTCTGCTAGCTGTGGAACTGGACTCTGCTGGAAGTCTTGCAAAGGCCCTATAGGATCTGACAAACACACAGCATTCAGTCTTGGACAGGTTCCGCTAATGAAGGGGGCCTCATTAGGCTTCATTTACAGTTTTTCCAGGGCTGCGTCTATTGTTTGGCCCGAGAGGGGAGGCTCAACCTGCAGCTTCCCCGGCCGGGCCAGTGGAGCACCTCATCAGGTTGCGTTGCCGGTTCACCCACTGCCTCGACTGGGACAACAGAACCGCCGCGTGATGCCGGTGGCAAACTGCTGCTATGTTTAAACAACTAGCGGGAGGGGGCGAGGCGGGATGGTTAAATAGTCGCTGGTGGTGCTGGGGGTGATGACCACTGAACGGAAACAGGACTCTGGCGTTATTAGATTTGCAACAAGCCGTAACACTGTCTCTCATTGTGTATCCCTCCTCCCTTGCCCCCCCCCCCAAGCTGCTGACCCTAGAGAGAAGACAACCAGTCCTCCCTGAACACCCTCGCCCCACCTCCACCTAACTCACACATGCACACTCACTCCCGACTAAAGCTCTCTCCAGGCAATTGCCACTGGAGTGGAAAGTATTCCAGAGCACAATGCCCATGCTCTCAATGGGTGCTTTAGCATGCCACCAGTGCGCTGTCACCAGCAGATGGGGAGCTAATTAGAAGCCATTAAAGGGCTTTGATAGTCTGTGTGGGAACCAGGCGGAGGGAGATGGCCACAGGGGTGTTAAAGGAGGGGTGAGGTTTTCAGGTCCGATGAATGCACACACACACATGAACACAAGCGAGACGGGAGAGATACAGAGAGAGCAGGCTGTCCCCGTGACTCCTCTCAGGCCAAGGACGCAGAGCAGAGGACACCTGTGGGGCCTCAAGGATCCTCTAAGGTTCCGGCGCGCACCACCTATCAGATGGAGATAAAGTCCCCATGACCTGCCCCCCCCCCATCTCTCTATCTGGCCACCCCATCTGCTGCCTACACACGGGAAAAACAGCCGACCAGCAGCCAGGCTCCAGCCCGTCTGCGCCGCTCATGACACATCTCTGAACCGGGACTCCCACAGGAAGTGACTCCCAACCACTGGGCCACAGTCATTACAGAGCCCAGGGCTGCCCAGGGAGGTGCCAGGCCATGCTCTTGAATCCAAGAATAAACATGCTAAACACCCCCCCACCCCACAGGAGCCCTGCGAACTTATGCATTCGCACACTTCCTGCACTTGTACTTGCTGTTGATGAGTCTCGAGCGTCCCCAGTGAGTGTCCCTCAGATGTGACATTGTGTTGGGCTTAGGGTTTTTGTATTCGACACCAGACTCACCCCTCCCAGTTCTGTATGAGCCTCTCCACACACCTGTGTGCAGGTGTGATCACTATCAAGCAAACAGGAAGAGCCTGACTGGGAACTGGAAACTAATCCCACAGCTGTGGGGAGATGGCCCGTGTACATGCGAGCGTTAGTAAAAATTGTTGAAAACTTCCATGTCACGCTCTCCTATCATAATCAAATTCCTCCCAGTTTCTTTTTTTTTTCTTAAAATCTCAGATGTAAAAAAAAAAAAAAAAACTCAGTCTAAGAAACCATTTATTCTCATCCGTCGTTAATATGCATTGCTCACTTTTCATGTTTCAGGAAGTAGTATGAGGCCTGCGCATTGTTTTCACAGCAATAATAACAGCAGCAAAAGTGTCGAAGCATTGCTGGAATGTCCCTTTTCCTCTGAATGAATTCCTGCATCGACGTTTCCCCGTGTGGCTTCCTGTACCGTGCTATTGTAGATCTATTTGCCATAGCGATAAAGAGGGCGTATCACTCAATACATTTCCCTTCCACCAAATACAACAATTTCTTCTGAAAGACACTACTGGGGAAACAGACAGGGCCAAGACACACAATGGGCTGCAAAAAAAAAATCCAGGTGTTGCCTTTCTGCTGTTTGAGGGGGTTCTGTGATCTTACAGGAGCTCTGAAACAAACAGTAGCTCATCGCCAGAGCAAAATGCCAAGCGATAATCAGCTCACATGTGAGGGCTCCGCTGGGAAATGAATTCAGTGTCAGCGTGGAGGGAGCTCAGAGAGGGCACTGTGGCTCTGTCAGTTAAAATCAGGAGCTAATATGTTTCACTTTTCTTTCCCCTCCTCTGCCTCTTCCCTCGGTCTTCTCTCTCCCCTTTGCCTTGATGTGCTGTAAACAGGCTAAAAAGAGCCCAGCTGTGTGGAGTTATTGTTGGTGTCAGTAGGAAGTGCTGATAGCTTTTGCAGCTGAACAAAAGCTGGATGAGGGGAGTGGAGGGGCGCTCCAGACACTGTGGCTCCAGCCTAGATTCTCTCCCACAATCCTTGCACCGCACTCCCATTGTTCTGCCCACCCGGCCTTCCCTCCGCCCCGTCAGCTGCGACCTGGGACAGAGGGCAAAGAGACGGGGAGAAAGAGAGTTTTTTGGAAAAGTTTTTACTGGCTACTGCGACAACTAGGAGAAACAGCCGGTGGTAGTTAACTTTGTTACTGACATTAGCTGTGGTATGCTGCAACATCTGTGCAGATATGAGCAGGGACTCTTTATGTAGCACTTACATTGAAATGCGAAAAGAAGAAGCTGCTTTAGGACATTTAAAAAAGCCTAAAAGTTCATATAGACAAGTTTGTTGCTAAAAACAAGTTACTGCACCAGTATTTGTGATAAGGATAATGCCATCATTCAAAAGAAAAGTAATAGAAATAGAAAAGAATTGGTTGTAAACATAGTCAAATGAAAAATAAATATCTATATGTATATACATATCTGTCATTATTTAAGTAAAGTCTTGAGGTCCTTGTGTTTTTTTTGTCTATGCAACTTATATTTCTCACATTGAAAGCTACAACTATTTTTTGTCATAATAGAACCTGTGTAAGATGATTTTAAGATTGAACACTAATCTAAAAAAGGGGAGAAAATGGCATTGATCAATGATAATTCAAACATATATTTTGTCAAACTAATTTATTATGCTGCAAGTAACATAATTGAGAAAAGCCATTGTTTAGTATAAGTTCTTGTTTTTATTGATTTTTAAAAAAGTATTTTTCACCTTGATAAAACCAATATTTTTCTTCTCATAACATTTCATAACAACGTCACTAGTGTGTGTTCCAAAATTATTTTGGATAATGGTTTAAAATGAAAAAAAAAGAAAAGAAATGGAACACATCTGGGGAATTTAAGTATAAAAAAACTTTTTTTTTTTCTCTTAAAACGTGTCAACGTGCACAAACGATTTCCCCCTCTAATATTTGGCGGTTTAAGGTGGAAGAAATCTGAATCCCTGTTAATGAAATGCAATCCACGAAGCGGAGCTCCTTTTTTTTTTTCACTTTCAAACATTCCTAGTTACCACAGTGAGAGCGGGGCTGTCGGGAGGAATGCTACAGCCCCTTTTTTTTGCCTTCGGCCGCGGCGGCGGCGTGAGGAGGAGCCTCCCTCCCCGCTTCCTGCGCCGTAAACCGGCGGCCGGCCTTCGCTGTGCAGGTGCGAGGGGGGGGCGGTCATCTCACCCCGCCGCTTTAAGGTGATAAACGCCACGACAAAGCCTCCCGAACCGCTGGGTTTTCTTTTTTATTTTTTTTTTTTCTCAGGGCTCCGCGCGCAGGTGAATGGAGGAGGTCGCTCTGAGCGCGAGAGCTCTTCTCTTGTTTGACATCTCCATGGAGACCGCCCGAGCGGCGCCAGGCTGACAGGCGTCAGGGGCCCGGATGAATGGGTGACGTCACCGCGCTGGCGCCTGCCAGTCTGCTCGGGCTTGTTTGGACAATCTGGGGGGAAGATTTCGGGGACAGAGCGATGCGATCTGAGTGTGTGCACACACAAGGCTGAGCACACAGGGGCAGAAACATGTGAAGGAATCCGTGAAGCTGCTGCTCACACTGGCTCTCCTTCAGTTTCGGAAAAAAGGGAGACTCTGTGCGTCCAGATAAAAAAAAAAAAAAAAAGAAGTGTAGTTTGTGAGCATAAAGAGCGCTTTGAGTTAAGAGACGAGGGATTTGGTGGCGTGGGGATGACCGCTCAGCCTTGTTTTTTTTTTGTTTTTCCCCCCCCAAAATCAGTGACAAGCATGACATCAGATCACTATTTTCCTTAAATGAATATTCAGAAAAACCTACATAAACTTCCACGGGTCGTGTGAAAGTTTGGGGGGGGGGGGGCGAGCACCGTCTTGAATAAATCACGGCTTAGAGAGCACGTGAGATGATCGCCGGGCCTCCCCGTGTGAAGCATTCCCGTGGATTTACTGTACCATTGTCTGCACCACATCTGCACCGCCACCAACAATTGTGAAAGGCAAATCTAGGGCGCCGTGGTCGCCTAATTGTCATTAGCCATTCATCCCATTCAGCCCGTCCCACCCCACACACACACTCACTCACACACACACACACACTCTCCCAGCACATACCCAAGCATCCACCACCCATGGCCTGTCCCCGGGCCATCTACACCTGCAGAGTCCCCAAGCCGCGGACAGCTGGATTCCCACATATTCCCCATAAAAGACACACATTTGTTTCCATTTGTAACGCCATTCCTCAAACAGATTGTAAATTCCGATAAGCGGCCGCGCGCCCTCATTGGCCGAGAGCGCCCAGCCGGGCCGCCTCCGCAATCCAAACGCGCGCTTTCTATTGGCTGGCCTCCTTCAAACGGGAGTCTGCGGACACGCCCCCCCCTCGCAGCTCCTGCCTTATAAAGCTGAGGCTGCAGCTCCATGTGGACGTTGCGAACTGTCAACAATCTAGCCGACACCAACCGAGAGAAACGGGTTTTTCCCCTACCCTTCGACTTCAATCTGTGGAGATTACGCCTCTGAAAAACACACGCGCAAACATGAAGGTTGTCGGATCTACCTGCGCCCTGAAGAGCAAGGTCGGCGGCGAGATGGGGCTGTCCGAGCAGAGCTTGACCATCGCCAAGTGCAAGATCCCGCTGCTGGACGAGCAGATGAGCGTCTTCCTCCAGGACATGAACAGCTGCTACAGCAAGCTGAAGGAGCTCGTGCCCACGCTGCCCACGAACAAGAAGGCCAGCAAGGTGGAGATCCTGCAGCACGTCATCGACTACATCTGGGACCTGCAGGTCGAGCTGGACGAGCCGGAGAAGAGCCGCCAGCACTCGGCCGCCAGCGTCCCGCGCACGCCGCTGACCACGCTCAACGCGGAGCTCGCCAGCATCTCAGTGGAGGTAAATATTTCACGACTGACCTCCAATGTTTCATAAAAACACTCGAAACTTTGAGTCTGTGTCCAGCGTGCCGGTGTAATGTCGTTATTTTGTGTGGACACACGTGCGTAAATTGGATAAACCCGTGCGTAAAAGCGCGTTTAAGAGGCTCTCTGTTTAAATCTCTAAAGCCAGCATGTACTGACCAGCTTTCCTCTTCTCTCTCTCCCCAGCAGAACGGCTGCTCAGACGACAGGATTATGTGCCGCTAAGAGGTCCCGGAGCATCGCCCCACCATTCCGCAGCGCACGGGGAGACTCGGCGTGACCTCTTGGGGTGGACGCATCGACCCCCTAGAGCCTTGAACTGTGTAGGGACGCTTCGAAGTCCCAAATTGTCGAAAAAACTAAAAGCAAAAAAAACTTTTACCATCATCCTCCCGCAGCGGTGGTCTCTCAGTAGAGGCTCTCGATTTATCCGAGGGCCCTGAGAGCAGAGCAGAGCAGAGGAGAGCCGGGGGTGTCCAGATCGTGGACTGGGTTAGTCAGGGGGACCAAGACGAGTTCAGAGCAACAGGCGACCCCTCGTTGCTATAGTGGAGCTTCTAAAGCAAAAAAATCCCCTACGTCTGTCACGCTCTTTGTATCATGTGTTAACCATATAGAGAATCCAACATTTTGTAAAAGAAGAAAAAATAATTTCTCAGATTCCTGAGCAACAAAAACTGTATTGTATATTACAATGCCATAGTATGTGAAGATATTGTTTTCTTACAATGTACCTTATTTGTGTTTTTATTAAAACAAGACAATTATTTTTTTGGAAACAAGAACTCCTCTGTGTTGTGTCCATTTGTGGGAGAAACCTGGATGATGATGATACACAAAAGTAGTTTGTGGAGTCATAAATGTAGGGAGTTTGAGTATTGGCTGATGTCCTGAGAACCACACAAGTGGAAAAGGGGGACACACTGGCTGCTATCACACACCTTTACAGCCCATATTGCCCTCAAAGTTAAGAGCAGCTCTCTCCAGCCTAATCTGAACAGCTTTCCTGAGCATAAACAGGTTGTCACTAAAAGGCTTTGCCACCTACTAGAGGCTGTTAAATCCTCCAGGTAACGTCAAACCACAGCTGGCGGTAAACATAATGGCTCATAGCCAGTTAAATTGGTCATTTGCTTCTTTTGTGGGTCATTAAGGTATCAGATTACGAGAGGAAGTCTCTAAAAGCAGCGGGGTATTGATAAAATACAAGCAGAACGCCAGATAAACGTTACAACGGTCGCATTTATTTCACGCTCTATACGCTGTTATGGCAGCTCACAGAGAAAACCAACCTCATACGACACTAAAGGCTTGTTTGTCGTCATAAAACCGTGTGTTTAAATCTGGTGTTTCCATATGTTGCAGTGTAAATCAGCATACCCCCCCCCCACCCCCCCCACACACACACACATTTTCTTTTCTTTTCTTTTTCCTTTTCTTTGACGGCGCCACAGGGGTTAAAATGGCTTTGGCGAGGCGATTCGTTATAAGATTTATTCCGTCTCCCCCGTGCAATGTTTTTCCCATTTCCCTGCGGTGCGATGCGCACAGCTGCAGCCCCGGCGCGGCCAGTGTGTGATTGTGTTTGTGTGATAGCTTTGTGCCAAGGGCAGGGGAGGGCGGCGGGGCCCAGACTGAGCGGCGCCTCGGCACACCTGGGGAAGTTCAGGTTAAATAGCTCCACATTCCTCAACACACAGCTGATTGAAACATTAACAAACAGTAATCCGCGGGCCAGGCCGCAGATGGGCCGGGAACCGGGCCAACAGAGAGAGGAAAGAGACGGAGCTCGCTCTCGGGGAGAGATTCCCACAGTATGTGCTCGTATACGGCAGAAGTTTGCTATTAATGTGTACACCTTTTAAAAAAAAGAAGAAGAAGAAGAATACTACTTTAGCTTGACCGTTCGGTATCTAAGTAGCTTAATTGAACCCTAACACAAACAAATCCCTTCCAATTGTTACTTTTAACCTTTAATCGGATAAAGTTTGATTATCTTTTGGTGCGTTTAAATGTCTCCAGAGCAAATGACGTTACTGTGGTCTCCATGGTGATAATATCCCATTAGCACTTAGTTAATTTAAAGCCTCGCCGTAGATTCTTTCCATGTTGGATTTAATCTATTTCTTTCTTTATTTTTTTTTGTTTATATGAATGTCCAAGTCTCCAGATGGAAGTTTCGATCCAGTGTGGACGCAGCTCCCTCTCGCGAGCGTGAAAGCAGCTGCAGGTCACGTGACGAGCCGGTTGGAAGCAGACTCATGTGGGAGGCGGGGCGATGGCGCCCCCTGCCGGCCACGCGCTGTCAGGCGGAGAGAGGAAACGACACATGGTTTCCAGCTAAGGTATGAAATAGACAGGCTAAAAATATACTAAGGTGTAAGTATTAGGAATAAAGAAAAAGAAAAGAAAAGGTTGCATTTATACTAAAATTATTCTCCTAAATTAGTAATACCAGGTTAGAGAAAATAGCTTATTCTACATACTCAATGAAACAAACTAATGTTCTGTGCTTCATGACAGTTAAACTGTTTGTTGAACCTCATTTAAAGAAAAGTTTGCAAGTTTTCAAAAGTTTTGGAAACGTTGTTTCTTTTTACTCTTTGTTTCTTTGTTTGGGTTTGTGTCGGATAAGTGCAAGTGCAAAGACATTACTTCGAGTGACCAACATATTTCATCTTAGAAAATTGAATAGACCCAAGAAATTCCAACCGTTGCTTCTAAATGACGTTCCCAAAGAGAGAGGTGTACCATTGTGTTTCGATAACCTCCTGGGACTGAACCTTTTTTTGCAAAACCACCCAAAGGATGAGCCAGTTCAGCCACAGAACTCAGAGGTTCAAGTGCTCACACTACTTCTCTCAGTGCAGGCCCAGTGAAAATACTTTTCCTGGTGTATGTTGCTAAACTCATCATAGTTACATGATGGATTGTTGTGCAGAGCTGCCTGAAGGCTGAACGGATACTCTACTGACATTTTTTTCATTCCAAGCCTTTACTCACAAAGATTGATCTCAATTTCAGAAATCTCTTGCCAATATTGTACTTTGTAGACATAAAAAGACCAACGGTCTTTGCAATGGGGCTTAAAAAAAAAAAGGATTGGGAACTTTTTATCTCGGACTGTGTTCGGCCAAAAGCGGCAAGCCGCATCTTGCCTTTGTTTTAAAGACTAAACCTTTATCCCGTTTTAGTAAGTAAATTGTCACTTCTTACAGACTTAAATGCTGATTGTGAAATTTTCTTACGTTTTACATAAGCTAAAATTAATGATACATTAGAATTATTGTTTTATTCTTTAAATCTTTAAAACAAATTCATCTAGAAAATAGTTTCCCTCTGGACTTGAGTAGATAACATGTATCCTCTGTTCAGGGGTGAGAGAGTATTTCTTAGATTTTGACTCGAAAATGTGTTCAAATGATTCAGAAGTTAGTGGACTACCAACAAAAATAAAATGAAATAAGACCCTATTAAGATACTCCTCATCTGCTCTGGTGAATAGAATGTAATAGTGGAGTACAAAGAATGTGGCGATTTTCTATTTTTAATTACGGTTCCACTTTACTGCAAATGACAAGGAAAGCCTTTCAATGTCTATTTAATTGATTTGTCAGCTTTAGTTACGAGGTTGTGTCTTTTGCATTTCACTTTTATAAATGTTGAAATCTCAAAGGTTTAAAAAATAAATAAATCCAAGACTGAAACCATCTGGCATTAGCTCAAATTCATATAAATATAAAACTGTATATGAGGCAGTACTAAATATGTTTTGTCCTGGTCATATGAAGGCTTTTATGTGAGATAAAGGAAATGGCTGCAGAGGCAGTGTTTAAATATAAATTTGTATTTACATCAATATCAACATCAACAGAAAAAAAATCTGTAATATACATACTGTAAAATGACAGCTTATCTGACCTCCAAACAGAGAAAGCTAAAGGTCTTTTGTCTTTTTTACACTCCATTTCACTCTACAGAGTTCCTTTTTCCTGCAGTAACTAAATGTAGACAGAAGATGAAGTTACTTCCTGAAAAATAGATGAGATCTTGATATGTTTTAAAGTTGATTTCCATTCCATTGGTTATTTCTTTGACATAGCAAAACATGCTTCTTCCCTGGATGGTAAAACTCTGTTGGAGTTCTTGAGTTTCAGGTCCTCTCCACACTGTGTCGCTTTGCTCCCCACAGCGCAGGCAACCCGCTCAATGTCCAGATCCATGATATGTACCCATTTACCATCACAATACATAACATATTTCATTAAAAAAAATACACCAGAAACCTCAAACTATACACAGATGTGGAAAAATATCTTTGGATTGCGCATGTTGAGAAGGTAGATTGAGTTGAGTTGATAACAGTCAAATCAAGAGGGTGTGAATTATGTCGGGTGGAGCTGGAGGGAAACAAACTGCAAGAACCAGAGTTGGTGGTGAACTGAATCGGTTCTCTCCTTCACTGATCTGCAGGCCAAACCCAACGCAGCACCCCGCACGCAGCACCCCGCAACAAAAATCCTCTCTGCTTATTTAGTTCATGTGGTTTTGTCATGTCTCTTTCTTGGCCTCCCTGTGAAACTTGACAGTCAAAGCTAAAACCTTCAACACGTCAAAAGGCTTGTCACAAGTTTTTTAAAAAAGTGCCTTGCTTTAAAAAACAAAAACAGGACCTTTTTTTGGGGATGTTGGAACGACATTCTGAAAGTGACAGGAGAACAGGAACCCCAATCTGACTAAAATACATTTTAAAAGCCCGTAAAGACAGAAAAAAAAACACAAAAAACCCCAAAGGAAATGGACACAAAAATTCAACCGGGTCTCATATTTTGTGCAAGAAAGGGCCTTTAAAAAAGCATGGCTGAAATATTTTGTCTGAATATTTACACTTCCTATTCAGAGAGGACATTTGAGAGATCTAATACTGCAGTACCAAGTGTTTGCTTCCAACAGGGTGTACAGTTACTGTCAAAAGCATAGAGGAAAGAATTATTGCTCCAATCTGCATAACATAGTAAACTGTGTGCTTATAGCTTTCAATGACTTTAGAATGAGGCTCATTCGAAGGAAAAGACAAAAACAAAAACAAAAACCCACTGCTGTGAAGGCATTGAATCTCTAGTAAGGCTGTAATGATGAAAAAATATTGCATCCATCTTCTCCCCCCCCCCACACAAAGAATCCTCGTGGTAAAGTGCAGCCGCAGCCAGTTGTACCGTCGGCCTGTTCTGCAGCCTGGCTGCCACGCTGAATACTGCTCAACAGTTTCAGGTTCCTCCCCTGAACAGACACACGCACACACACACTAACACACACGCACACACACAGTCAGGCGCTCAGAGCTTTCTGCATGCAATGATTTGATTTAGGGGCGGAGGGGACCTTGTACAGTTAAGTTTTTGTGGCCCACTTCCTCCCCTGCAATCAATCGAGCTCGCCGTGCCTCGCAAGGCATTTTCTCTGCTGGGGAACTCCTGCGTGTGTGTGTGTGTGTGTTTGCAGGCGTTTCTCGGACTCCTATCCCCGTCCAGTACGTTCGGCCACGGCTGAAAGGGTCCACATTCCGGCACCATCCGCAGGTCCTCAGCAGTACTTCTGTGAGGGCGGGTCAGAACACGGGTCAGGGAGGCACAAGTCGCAGCCATTTCTTTTTTAAAGGGGGAGAAAAGAAAAGAAGTCTCAAAGCTGTTTTGGTGTATTACCCACCTGATCAGGTCCCAATGGCATTCTGCCCATCCCCATTGGGTTCATGCCCATTTGGCCCTGCATCTGTCCTTGCATTTGGGCCATCTGAGCCGGGCCAGGCCCGCTCACTGGTCCAGGTCCACCCATCGTGTTGTTCATCATCATGGCTCCAAACTGGCCCTGGGTGCCCTGCTGGGAGAACTGCTGCTGGGAATATGGGCTGCAAACCAAAAACATGGAAAAAAAACCCTCACATTTAGCAGTGAAACACGAGGAGAGGGTCTGTAGCTCTGTGGGTTTGGAGATAAATGCATGATCAAACAGGAAATAAATAAATAACATCGTGAATTCCCCACAGTTAACATTCACGAAGGTCAGTAAGTAAGTAAGTAAGCTCCAACAGTCAGACGGACGGTGCGTACTTATTACGAAGCATGTTGCCCTGTGGCCAGCCTTTCATGTCTCCAGACGGATACATGTGTGCTCCCTGTGGGTTCCCCTGCATCCCCGGCATCATGGTGCTCTGCGGAGGACCTCCCATTCGTCCTTGCACCATGTTTGCAGGTGGACTGGAAACAGGAGCCATGAAAGATGGGTCCACCTGCTGGTTCATGCCTAAAAACACAAAAAAACACAAAGCGAGCTCACTCCTGATGCTCAGCAGGCTGTGACAGACTGTGGTGGCTGCCTCCGGTTGCTGGTCTCACCGTAAGTGTTTCCGTAGCTGAAACCCTGCTGCTGGTTTAGGGGGGGCGCTCCCATGGGGCTGTCCATGCTTCCTGGAGCTGTGACATTAGGAGGAGGGCTGAAGCCCCCTGCTAGTGCCTGACTTTGCTGCTGCTGCTGTTGTTGTTGTTGTTGTTGCTGATGCATCAGCATCATCACCCTCTGCCTCCTCATCTGCATGGTCGTCATCACCTCTCTGGTGCGCTGCGCCATCATCTGGGCGTTCAGGAAACCGGGCTGCGGACAACAGACGCTGCAGCTTAATCGGGCCATCGAGGGCATGGATTTGAAATCCCGACCGGACCTGCTGATGACACACCTGGCCGCCCATCCCTGCGGGCTGCATGGCGGGGCGCATGGCGGGGTTTCCTCCGGGGGCACCTTCTATCTTCATTCCTTGTCGTGTCTGGTTCATGAACTGCTATGTGAGAAGAGAAAGCCGTTCAGGTGTGTTAGGTCTGCTTCCACCGGTGGTCACAAGTAACGGGAACATTGAAGAAGGCGATCACTCCATTTTTTTCTGTGTGTCATCACCTGCTGTCCCTGGAGTCTCTGCTGTAACTGCAGCCTGGTAGGCTTGGCGACAGTCATCATGCGAGGCCGTGGCATGTTTGCGCGAGGGTTACCCATGCCCCCCATGCCCGGGAAGCCCCCTGTCTGACCCATCTGACTCATAATGGGGTTGAAGCCTCCAGGAGACTGGCCCTGCAGCGTGTTGCCTGCATATCCAGGCTGCATGCCCATGGAGGGAGGCCCCGGATAGCCCGGGCCATACATGGGTTTTTGGTCCATCCCCATGGAGGAGTCCAGCCCCGGGAAAGGCTCTGATGCTGGGCACTGGCCATGGCCTTGATCTTGGCCCAGCTGGTGGCCTTCAGGTCCATGGGACTGGTAGAAAAAAAAAAGAAAAATAATAAAACGCTTTCAGGTAAAGGAAAAATCTGCTAAACACAGGTGGAACGGAAAATGAACAGAGCCAGAAGACAAAATATTAGGAAAACAGCTGGCTGGAAAAAAAAAAGAGAGTTCCAAGAATGCAAACAGGAATGAATTTGTGAAGGCGTCCTTGAATAAGTAATCCTTTAACAGCATTCTCATGATGTGAAGGGAATGCAGGTCGTTTTTGTTTTCTAGTGCCACTCTAGAATGTAATAAGTGAATGAGTTGTGTTAGATATGATGTTGTTTTGCTTAGAACAGATATGTAAACACTGTATAGGATAAGTTTGAACAAGGCCAATTTCCAAGTATGTAATCTGTGTGTCATTGATTTTAACTGAAACATTTACCCCTGTCTTTACACATGACCCGTACAAAGTTACATGATCGATACACAGGTGACAGCTGCACATGCACTGGAGACTATGTTCCGGCTTGTCCCGTACCTGGCCAACGATTTCAGGGATGCCGAGGGCTCGATCTATCTCCTGCAGGGCAATGACATCAGCGGTATTCAGCAGAGAGTCGAGCTGGTCCAGAAGGGCCCTTTCATCACTTGGACCATCGCTGCTGGTCAGAGGCCCCAGTAGCTCCTCCAGGGGGTGCACAAACTGATCCCTACGACCCAACACATGACACAGATGGTATCTCAGCTCAGGCAAAGGTGACTGAACAGCTGTATCAGCAGCAGCTTTTGACTTCCACTTTGGGTCCAATGAAACAGAATCTAGTATAAAATCCAGTACAAAAATCTCTCTGGGGAGTTTACCGGTTTGTGCTACTCTGTGGTCGGTCCATTCCCATCCCAGAGTCTGGCCAAGAGGGGGACTGGGGTGGGGGCCCTTGTCCACCAAATGGGTTCATACCCATATTAGCTTCATTGTTACCTACAGAGGTAATTGTGGATGAAGTTTGGTTAGAAACAATACTTTATCCAATACCAGGACTATGGATCCAAGCCTCTGGGTCCATAGTGAAACATTGCTCTACTATATTTCACCAACATACCCATATCCATAAGCTGCTGCTGCAGCATGGACCTGGTGTTTTCGGGTGCACTGATGGAGCGGTTAATCATCGGTACTCCCATCTGGCCGGGGCGACCCATGGCTGGATGCCCTGGACCAGCCACAGGGCTTCTGCTGGACCTTGGCATGCCCCATTCCCCTGCGCCTGCCATTAAGGGCCGCTGATGAACACCCATGCCTCGACCCATACCTCCTGCATGACACAAAAACATTGAAGCGCCTCGTCAAGAGAATTCTGTCAACTGCTTGTGCTCCTGATCTTCACAGAAAGTGCATTGAGTGCTTAAGTTACTTGTTAGATTGCCCCGGGTTGGACACGCATCCATGCCTCCAGTAAAGCCTTTGCGCACGTTTCCAGGTCGGATCGGAGCATCTATGTTTTCTTGTTTGACCAGTGTGGGGCAGGGAACATTCCGTCTCGTTGCCAGTCCAGCTCCCATCACCGTTTCTCCAGAAATGGGCTTGGAATCCACAGAGAGGGCTCTTTGATAGGCTCCACGCTGACCTGGCAGTATGGGACCTCTTTCCCCATCTGAAACACACACTTGCACGTTCAAGACACCTGGACCATGTCAAACATTTTGAACAGTTTTATCTTACTCAACATTAAAATGATCTACACACCATGCAAACTATCAGGAACAGTTCCCTGTTTGTTCCCCACTTCCTTTCCGGCTCTGGAGTCGGGTTCAGGGTAAAAAGCCGAGCCGTTCCGTGGGACACCCAGAATGGTCTCCAGCGTCTCCGTCTGATGAACCAAATGGCAGGGTTAGTCCAATACCAAGTCTGTGGAGGAATTTTAAACCTCACACAATAACAAACAGACAGATTCTAGGCTTCAGCTCTACCTCATCAGATGGCTCCAGTTTCACCTTGCCATCGATGCAGGGGGGGTCTGTGCTGCTGACTCCTGCCCCTTGAGATCCTCTCCCATCTAAATCCTCTGACTTAGGCTTCATATCACCACCTTCTTTAGAGTCATCTTTATTGAGGAGGTAATGAAGGAGGGCGTGGGATTTCTCCTTTTTCGGACTGTGCTGTTCCTTCTTTGATTCTGATCCCTTTATTCCCCCAGTAACTGCAGGCCCAGGTTCTGGTGCCCCTGAATCCAGACTGGCCTTCCCGGTGGCCATGGCTGTGATACGGGCCACGTCATCGGGGGTGTTGCCGTTCTGCAGGAGTTTGTGGAGGATCTTGTGCTTCTCCTGCAGTGACTGGCTTTGTCCGGTTCCCCCAGAGGAGGACACGGCGCCATGAGTCCCGCTCGTGGAAGAGGACACGCCTGTTGTGGAGGAGGGACTGGTAACTCCAGTTTTTCCACTCTTGGTGTCAGGTGTGGAGCTGGGTCCACAGCTCGGTGTGTGACCAGCTGGCACCAGCTCGTCTGTGTTGGAGGTCAGGAGCTGCAGAAGCTTCTTGTTGCATTTGTCGGGGACCCGTCGACTGGACTCCCCCGCACCAGGACAAGCCTGGCTGTCTGGTTTATCAGGAGGGCCCTCGCTGGTGGGAGTGTGTGGGTGCTGCTGTGACTGCTGCTCTTCACCAACTCCAAGTGAGTTGCCTGGGCTCTTGGAGTCAGAGTATGGTGGGAGGCCAGCTTTACATGGACCCCCTGCTGCCTGGTTGGTGGAGTTGATGCTTGGGGAGCTGTCAGGTTTGTGAGGTGGAGGAGATGTAAGAGGTGCCGGCATTGGATTGCCAACTCCCTCACTTATTGCTTGGAGGGCATTCAAAGAGCTGCTGGAGAAGGTGTTCACTCCTCCTCCTCCTCCTCCTCCTCCTCCTCCTCCAGAGTTAGCAGTGTGAGTAGAACTCATGGGAGAGTTCAGGGCTGCTAAAGACACAAAGCAGATAAAAATAAACGTAAAAAAATGTGATTCAAAAGGTCATGAATTAAATCCCCTCAAACTTCAAGTTCCATGAAGATTCGGCTATACCTCCAGGAGAAAAAGGGCTGGCTCCCATCTTGGGGCTTCCTCGGACTCTAGGTGACCCCATAACATTATGCGGGGGACCGTTGATCCCGGGGCTGGCCTGGGGAGGGCTGGTCATGCCCATTCCATAACCTCCACCCCCACCCCCAGGTCCACCTCCGTGAAACGGACCCATCTGCTGATGCTGGTGATGCTGCTGCTGTTGATGCACTCCATGATGACCCACTTGGTTCATGGACCCCATTTGGTTAACTGAGTTCATTGTATGCATGGGATTCATTTGACCCACGTTGTTCATCTGATGCATAGAACTCATCTGATGCATGGGGCTCATCTGATGCATGGGGTTCATGCGGCTGCCCCCAGTGTATGGTGGCACTCCTCTTTGCGACATGTTGCCCTGTTCGGCCATGCCATAGCCTCGGTTCATGCCCATGCTACCTGCAGGGCTCATGTTCATTTGTTGACTGGCGTTGTTTGCGCCCATATTTTGGGGCCTCATACCACCCCCTTGATTACCACGGTAACAATTGTGCTCCCTAAAGAAAAACAAAAACAATGATAAATGAAAATAGAATATTTAGACAATCGGAGTTGAGTGGATTAATTCCCCTATTTTCAGCCATATGCGTACCTTTGAAGGAAGTGCGTTGAGTGGAAAGAGTGAGGTTCATTTGTATTGGGATTTCTATACAGGTCGCTCCTTGTCTGAGCAGTCACTGGGGTGCCATCAGAGAGTGAGAAGCGGTAGAGAGGTGTCTCTGCATGACCAGTATGGAACACTGAACAGGAAAAGAAGAAGATAGAGTCACACCCCTGAAACATCACAATATGATGGAGGATTGCATGTGAAACCATGCTCCACTGGAAGGAAATACACTCAGATGTGGGCACAGAAATTAAGCTACCACACAGGTCTGAAGGCATAGGATTAGCCAAGTCACTGCAATCACAAGGCTCCTGGGGTCCCTTCCAGAGTTTTGGCAATGAGAAAGGTGTGATGGTTGAAAGGCATACCATCTTGATAGTGCCGTTTGTAGGACCATGGTTGACCATCACTTCTATGGAGGAACATCTGCATGCAGCGTCCAACCAGGTCCTCCCAGCCTGGACGCATTGTAGTGTGAAGAGAGCTCTGCTGCTCAATTTCAATAAGTTTACCTACAACAGAGGGTGCACAATTACAGATGAAAGCTTTTACAAAAATATTAATCTTACTCTTTTTGTAAAGGGAGAAGCATCAGGGAGACATTTTGGCACATGAAAAAGGTAAAAAACTATTACATTTAATGCAACAAGTACAGTATGAACAGTCTCCTGCATACTTCAAACATTTTGAGGAAATATTAAATGATTATGACAATCTGCTGCAGTATGACCCGCCAAAGATTTCTCTAAATCTCCTTTCATGATGGCCCTCTAACATCTAGCACTTCAGTCCAGTGTAAAAACGTTTAATCAAAAGCATCCACTTCAAAGTGGGGCCGACAAGGTAAGACGTGGTAACAATTAAGAGAACTTAGCATTCATGTGCTGACACTTACCAGACAGCTCATGCCGAGTGCTGAACCTCTCTGTCCTCTCTACTGCAGTGATTCGTCGTGCAACGCAGATCATACACGACTGTAAATCTGAGGAAAGAAGGACGATGATATGTTTTCATCACTGAAGGAGAAACTGTGCGTGTCCGCACACAAAACTAATTTTGAGCCGTGATCAATGGCTTTTACCATCTCCCTCCTCCATCATGGCCCGGGGCTGAGTTAGGGCAAAACACTGCATGGTCTCATAACGGTGCCCCCCGGCTCTTTCCTCTGGTAGCCCATGATTCTGACCGTGAACAAAGTTTACCAGCATGCGACAGTTGAAGGTATGGCTTTTCTGACGAGGTGCCTCTCCACCCCAAGGTGCCCCGTTTGGTACTGTGTAGAGGCAAACGTGATAATCGCAGGTGAGTTTGGTTACATAAGCTAGAATTGTGTTTGTCAGTATTAAGCTTAATTTATTTCTGTCCCGTCTGTACAGACAAAGATTTCAAACCTCACCATTATACTTGGGCAGGTTCTTGTGAAACTCCTCTCTGTCCTCATCGTGGATGATGTTGTACACGCTGGTGTTGATCAGCTCCTCCTGCTTGTATTGCAGGTACTGCGTCACATTGTCTGACACAAATACAATGCTCCCCTCTCGGTTGACCACAAACAGAAAGCCGTCCAAAGCCTAGAAATAGGGCCGCCACATTTAAATTAACACACAATGTCTAAATGCAAATCGAATCATTCTAATTCCAAAACTTCTCCAAGAGCGCAGCTGAGATCTATCTGTCACCAGACAGTGGCCTAGTACTTGATTGCTATTGGCCAAGAATGATTGTCCCCAAACTGACCTGTAAGAGTAGCGGTCCCAGATGGTCCTTGTCAATGACCCCCTGACCAGTGGAGGACACATCTGCCTTCTGTACATCGTCATCACTGTAAGAGCTCTTTCCTGAGTTCAAAGGAAGCACATTTCATTGTTTCAAGCTTTATATTCTGCAAATAATATCAGTTGAGAAGTTGTTCTGATTTTAAACTTTAAAAGATAGATTTTTACAAATAAATCCTGCCTTTCATTATTACAAATCTCGGTGCTATGATATACTAAATCCAGGTCGCTGTATTTTCAGCCACCAGATGGCAGCAGAGCCCTTGATGCAAGGCTTGCATGCCTTTCTATTTTTAAAATCAGCATGTGTCTGGGGCTTTGGTAGATACCACTCAATATAGCCGGGTCATCCGTGGTTCGACAGTGAGAGAGAGACAGAGAGAGAGAGACTCTGCACAAAACTGTACAACGCTGGAATTAAAGCCGCTTCAACCTAAACAATGTTCAGACCAATTAATTATTTTTTAAAAAGAGAAGAGAGAAACACATGCACTGAAAATAACCTAACTGGAAACAGCAAAAAGATGGAATGATTTGCAAAGGCGTGTATTACAAACAACAGACAAAGAAGAAAACGGAGAAGCTGCCTATCACCCCTCTATCCCCACCATGTAGCTATAGTAACCTGGCTAGCCGTGTGACGCCATGACCCTTTAAGTTGATGCCAATATGACTACTGAACTTCCAAACCAATTTGTCTTTGTCTACAAAATAACAGTAAAATGGCTTTAGGAAAGGGGGGGACACTCCTTAACGCCTGATTTCTTAGTTCCAGTTATTTTTCTTGCAGTAAAAAGCAGAGTTGGGCACTTACAGATATCCCACTGTGTCTATCAGGCTTGAGTCTTGACCATCAAAGATTGGTTTCAACTACTGGTGTTCATTTACCCAAGGCAATGCACAGCAAAGCGGCTGCTAGTCTAAAACATCCTGGCCGCAAACCAAACAAACTGCTCAATCAACAGCATCCTCTGTCCTGTAGCACGTTACTTGACAAACCTAACTTCACCCGGTGTTTGCCTTCTAATTAACAGAAGAACAAAAAGAGGCAAATAAAAGTCATTTGTGTTTTTTTCTGCTCATGACCAGGAGGGTATGGGTGAGACCTGGACAGAGGCGTTACCTTGCTCTTTGATTTGTCTGATCTGCCTCACTGTCTCCTTGAGGATAGCACATTTGTCAGGCTTGACGTTGAAGCTGTCAATGTTCGAGAGGTTGGCGGAGATGAGCTCGGCCAGCTCCTCGATGTACTTGCTCTCCTGTTCTCTCCGACGCTTGTCACACCTGCCGGGGAGCCAAGGGGGATTAGACATGTTGCCATGACGACCCACCTCCCCATGCCAAATCTGCATGCAGGCCATACGAAGCTCTGATATGTCCAACATTTTAAAAAGCGGCACGCACATGTTTGCAAAAGTCACGTTGCATGCTAGCTGTTGGGAGTCAAAACAACAGCAGGTCGAGTTACCTGATATTTGAACAGAATTAACAGAAGCTGTAACACTCACCCTAGTCCTGGTGTGTCACAGGTGGACAGCTTTCGTTTGCGGTCGACGCAAAGCGGCTCCAGCGAGTTGTCTCCAACGCCACTCATCTTCAGCGCATATCAGCACCTGAAAGCACACCCATACACGCATGGCATGAGCAGAGAGCATGAAGACAGAGTTGTGTTAGAGGCTCGCGCGTGGGTACCATCTAATCAGAAGAGAAGTGTGGACTGGAAAGTGCTCTTTGCTGTGACCGTTTCCCCCGACAAAGCCACTCAAAAACGAATGACTATAAATCAAGTGACTTCCATGGGAATATAAGATTGTAGATTCCTACGGTATTATAAGGACAGAATATCCATTTAGTAAAGCAGCCTTGGTTTTTTCTCTATGTTTGATGGGAGTGAAATCTCATCTGTTCCACTGTGAGGAGCGACTGATGATGATGTAGTGATCTGGAGCCTCAGGGGAGATGGGTCATCCTGCGTTCAGCCAGCCTACCCGCAAGAACGGAACCATTCTGCTTGCAGCAGCAACATGTACACATTGCTTACACATACCATTTCCAGAAGGCTTACATGATCAAGCATGTTGACACAGAAGAGTGTTAGCAGTCGCTGTCCCACCAAGAAACATATTCACCAGCCTGTCTCTTTGTCTCACAATGTGGAATCGCGTAAGCAAGACACTCAAGCTTGTGGAACCTTAAAACCACCCGGAAAAGCCTCCATGCTGAACTCCAAACACTAGCTTGAATTGGCATTAAATTCTTCACATTTGTTTAGTGTCCACACAAGGCCACATTACAGATTTCAACTTCTGTTCGACTGATATCTTCAATGCACAACCCCTCCCCTCCTTCCCTGGGTGTAGCAGTGTTGAGTTGAGGACCCTGCCCTTGTTTTCTTGCTCTGGTACTGCCCTGTGTCTGACCCCCTCAGAGTTCACTGTAGAGGAAACCCCTGTAGCCAGCGTCTAAGGTCATTGCTCTTTCCTATTCCCAGCCAGCAAAGTACACAGAGCTGCAGCATGTGGCTTTTCTACTACCAGCCCATCCTGGACTTTGTCTGCTTGTGTTTGAGAGCACTCAAGAGTGAGCTCATTCCTGAGAGGAAAACTGTACAACGGATGGGAGCCATTATGCAACTCCTGCTCTGTAACTGCAGGCTGGGACATGCAGCCCAGTCACTTACCTCCACCACAATACTACTACCATAGGAGCAGCACGTATCACACATTCACCCCGTTCCGTGAATCAGCATTTGATGCTTCTTTTCTTGCTACCTTTCATCACTCGTGTCTAAATCTGTCCGCCGTGCTCCGGCTGTGACTCTCGCTGCCCTCCCTTTTCCCTTTCTTCCTTCCTGGGTTCTGTCCTAAAGCTCACCTCTGCAGTAGTGGAGAAAGATGACATCAGCCCTCAGTCAGGCTCACATCCTGAAACAGACAAACAGCAGAACTGTGGCGGCTGGAAACATTCTGCAGAACTGGTAATTCATTGCACAATAGCAAATGTAAATGGAAACAGGTTCCAACATGGATAGATAATGTCCTTTCAAAAAAGCAGTCTGTCACTGCTGTGCACAACTGCAGCCTGGCATGTGATCAGAATGACTTGAGCTGACACATTGCTCTGCTGTGAAAGTGCACGGTTCACTGGCCCTTTCTTATCGATATTTCACAAGTGCTAAAAGTTTGAAACAACTCAGATCAGAAAACAGAACAGGGATTGACAACACGTCGAGAGAAAACTGAGGATTTGTGAGCAGCAAACCACCAAAACCACGGCTGAGCCTCAACAGGCTGAATCGACTTCACCTGACGCAGTGAAACTCGCTCTGAGACGAGACTGTTAGTACAAACCTTTAGGTGCACATAATGCAGCTGCCCCTCACACATAACACGTCGTACATTAAAATCAAAAAGGTCTAAATCTTTAATGAACTGACCAGCTGGGTTGCATGTAAAAATATTCTCATCTTTACTGCATGCTCACCTTAGCCAGTACAAGCCCCAGTCTAACTCCATGCAGGGCCTCTGTCACTTCAGTGTCTCAACATCTCCTGAAATCAGAAAGACAGAACAGGGTCAGGACCTATGGTTCACTGTATATGTCTGGATGTCTTAATAAATGCATTAAGGACTGCTTCCTATATGCAAAAAAACAAAAAAAACAAAAAAAAAACAGCATGTGCTTTATACGTTTAGTCTCTAAGAAATTCATGTGAAAAACTAATTTCTAAAATTGCACAGGAAGTCACAGCAGATAGCATCCTGTTTGCGTTCTCCTCTCAGCCTGTTCCACCGCATCATCACTTCCTTTTCCTGGAAATGTGGCCAATAGTCCACGCCATTTACATATCGAGTTTATCATTCCGGTTCCCTGCCATCCCAATTTTTTCAAGGTCCAATTTGAAGCACCTTTAGGGCATTTCCAAAATACTGATTGACCAATTCTACTTAAAATAAAATAATTGTATTTATTTCTCAAAAACATACATCTGAATTAAAAATTGATTTCAAATAGTCTTAAAAAAAGCTTGTGTCAATTATCCATTTAGGACTAGCCTAATCATTCAGCTAACTCACAGCCAGAACCACATGCAGAGTGCTGGTTACAAGCCGCTTCTCCCTCAAGCACATTTGTGTGTGTGTGAGTGAGTGTGATCCCCATCACAGACCACTGATCACATCAGTCCTAAACACCGAGCTGCAACTGAGCTAATACTGCAGCTGAATAATTTAAAACGCAGGGGGAAAAAAATGGAGGAAAGTACCCCTCCTCTTTCGGTCAAGTGTCCAAAGACAGTTTAACAATCGACAACTGTTAATTATCCCCACAGAACCTTTAAAATGCTATTGAACTGTGATGAATGGATCCTCTTAGTGTTTTACTGATAGATATGAATTCAAAGCATGGACATTCTTGTGTTTCTTCTGTAAGTAAGATGTCATTTAAACGGGGAAAAATAAGCACCATGTGATTATGGACTGCAGGAGGTGGAGGAGGAGTCAAAGCAGACTGGGTCGAATTAGAATAAAGAGAGGAAGGAGGAGGTGAGATTGGGAGGGGGTGGGGCAGAAAACCGAGACACTGCATTGAGTTCAATGGTAGAATTCAGGACAAAACATTTTTTACGATGAAATACCACACAGGTTATACGAATTTCATAAAGTCAATTCGGTATACTTTACTGATGAACTGTCTATTTTAGAATTCCCCAAATAGCTAGCAAAATATGGTGCCGTTCCATTACTTGGTACATTTTGATTCAGAACACATTACGTGATATGCGTCTTCGTTGGCAGCTCTTTCACAGTAGAAGGCATCTCATGATATAGGTTAGCAGTTATTGTCAGAATAAGTGTAAAGCTGCGCTAACAGAGATAGGACACACAACTTCACATACAAGCGCAGTGTCTGTGTGTATGGATAGGTTACAACCCTAATCGTTGCGTGTTCTTTCCATTACTTAGAAATCACATTGAATGTGTGAAACAGAGATCCCTTGTGATTGGTGGGAAAAAATAGAAAAAAAAGAAGAAAGGACCAACCTATTGATCCAAACAGAGAAGGTTTCACAAGCGTCTGTTTTTTGGACAGTAGAACACTGATCGAGAAATGGAGACCTAAAACTGAACTGCACCAGCAAATAAAATTTTAGCGGTGGCATTAATCTTAATAATGCATTTCCCCAAATACATACTGTATGTATTAACTGCACTTGCAATTGACAACAAAAGCCCATCAAACTTTTATATAATGAGAAATCGCTTTTTTGACCAAATAAACACCGTGCAAAGGAATTTGACCTGATATCCCAGCACCACAGGACAATTTAAATAATACATTTGAAAATAGCAAAGAAGTAATTAAGCGAACAACTAGATGAACAAGGCACTGACTTAACATGAGACTGAGAAGACAAACATTTCTCAACTGAATATTTCTGTTCGAATGACCACATACTCAAATTCGGTGTACATTAATTTGGCTAAAGGCCAGCGTTCAGTCAGGACACAAATAGCAAAGACATTCCTTCACAGCCCTAAATAAAGCCTGAAATTTGAGCTCTCTGAGACAAAGAGTGGCATAAGCATTGTCCAACCCAAAACTATGATCAACATAGTAAAAAAAACAACAACACACAACCCAAAAGCACATCCCTTAAGTGCATTCCTTCCTTACATTCCTTAAGTACAAGAAAAACAATATTGGGTACATTTTCCATGGACTTCAACTCTTCAAAGACCTGGGTTACCAAATACTAAAAAGTCATATTGCTATGGAGCTGTATTCAAATATGAACACAAAGGCAATGGACACAAGGTCATAAAGCAACAGAATGAGGTTACTGGAGCCTGGGGTCTCAAGTGCAAAAAGGAAACAAAAGGACAGAACGACTTCCTGTTTTTCTTCAAAGAACTTGTCCGCCTCCAGCAAAGCATAAAACCAGCTAAATGTATCGGGGTGTTCCACCTGTTCAGCCACAACACAATTTCTCTGGGCCATTACTTATGATACAATGTCTTGTTCAATTAACAGTCATGGCGGGTAACCTCATTCTTCACTTGATTGCAATACAAGCCATGAACGATTATTTACCAAACACTGATTAGGTTTATACGGTGGCAGTTTCCTTTAGCAATTCTGGCACTCTGTTACCGGCATTTTGGCATTTTGATATTTCCAATTACAAGTTGTCTGAAGTCGTAGACTGTATCTGGACAACTGACTTAATGTGCAGGCTGAAACGCGCAACACCGTGAACTCAATGGAATTTTTAACAAATGAATACAAGCAAAAACACATGATTCATCTTAAAAGTTAAATAAAAGAACTTCAATTGACAAAAAAGAAAAAATGTTCTTCTTTCTAGTTTGGTCGTTTAAGTGGGGATATATTTATCACCTTTAGAGTAGCAGATGAGCCTACAACTTTTAGGATACATGCAAGTGTCCAGAATAGTTTGCTGTGTGCTTAAAAGTGTACGCACATTGTGCAGTGTACACACATTTGCTAACCTGTTCACATACCATCTTCCCAGCTGATGTTCTGAAGATTTTACTAAACAGCCAGGTGAACTATATTTTTTAATCTGAATCAAGAGATCTTGCAGATGTGTCCTCACATGCCACCGCCCCAGAAAATTCCTTGGAGAGTTCAGAACTTTTCTGCATGTGTGACAATTAGAAATTAGTAACTTCAAATGAATTATTCTTTTCATGATGGATTCATGGATAAAAGTGTAGCGTTTGTTCCTCAGTTACATGCAAAACGTAGCTACAATGTCTAGCTACATATACAGCTCGACAGGACTAAAAGAAATAGTTACACTGCAAAGTAGATCCAATGCTTCTCCACTGTGGATTACGAGAAAGGACTCTTTTGTAACATCTACTCATTATTTACATGTGTTCAGTTTAGATAAACTTGCTCAGTTGTCAGTCAGACCAACTAGTTTACATGCATTATAAGTGTTTGAAAGTGTTTGAATGTCCAGATACTTTTTTTTTCCCCACTGAGGCTTCATAGAGGGATTAAATGTATATCTGTCTTACATGATCTTAAAAAGATGGAGAGAAATGTCCGATCAAGAAACCAAAGGTTTTGACAGAAAGATGGTCTGTGGCCACACAGTGAGATTCAGTAAACTTGGATGAAAAGGACATTATTGGTGATGAGTTAAGACGTCAGTCCTTCCATGTCAATCCTTTTAGAGATACATTAAATTAAGGTCCTATTTGGGAAGTGACCATGACAACCGTATTGAGAAAAAAGAAAATAACAAAGAAAAAGGATGTCTCTGTTTTACAGAATTATTTTACAAAGGCAGGTTATGAAGGTATGACTATCTGTGTTAATTTAGGGGTCAAGAACAGAGAATAAATGCTTTCAACATTTCAAAGCTGCGGCAAAAGAGAACAGGGAGAGGGAGCTGGTAGGTTAGATAAAGACACATCTCCACAGGAAATAAACTGGAATCTAAAATATTCCAGAAGTATTGCCATTAGTAAGCCAACAAATGCTTGTTTGATAGAAACCAAGCCCGAGTCAAACTCTTTGGAGGAAGAAGGAAAAAAAAGACTGACTGGCATAACACAAAAACGCCCTTTGGATCTGCATACAAAGTGTGCATAAATGTGTCCAGACAGAAGGTGCACTTCAAAGCAGAGAAACTCCCTGCATAACACTGCCTGTTTCTTCCAGAAAAGCATCCCACACCCTTACACAACGTGACACAAGCGCTGGGACAAGGCGTTTGTGTCTCCCCATTTTTCTTACAAATCTGCAAGGGGCAGAAAAACAGAAAAAAGAAATGAAGGTGAAAACAGATGGCAGATTCTACTGTGTGTGCATCACATGAGCATCACTTCAAACTATCCATCAACACTACCGACAAAGAATATAGAACGGGGGGGAATAGGATACACAAGGACATGGACTCAACCAGCTCACTCATAGGACAACGATGGAGCTGTGTGTCTCATAATCCCTTCATAATCTTGACATGCTGGTGAGTATCGAGAAACGATAAGCGCAGAGACACAGCGTTGTCCAGCGAAAATCAGTTACCAAACAACCTGCAGTCTGCTGGCCAATATTATGGAAATGAGTTCATTTATCAATGGGAAAACAACCTTTTATCTGAGGAGCCAGAATGTCAGCGTCTGATCAGCCTCCATGCTGTCCGGTCTGATAACTCATTTGCAACTGATACAGATGCAGGCAGGGAACAAATCTTTTGTTAGTAGAGATGATTAATTGTGAGGAGATGCTAACCACTATAATTAAATGATCTGACGTCAATACATAAAGCATTTTTAACTTTGCTGTTCGGAAGCAATGTGTGTAAACGTTTAAACTGTGCCACTCGGCTTTTCTTCCTCCCTTCCTCCCTCCCTTTCGTGCTTGTGTCTTTCTCTCCGCTCTCTCTGTGTTCATTCCCCCCTCCCCTTCATCCTCTTCTACCCTCCGTCCCTGTTGGATTGGTGGAGTAAACACAGGAAGAGAGCGGGCTCTGTTCCACCACGCCAGAGCTGAGCCTGGGCGTTCCTGTAGTGC